GCTTCTCCGTGTTCTTAGCATGTCACTAGCTGCGTGGGCATATTTTATGTCTCTCTAAAAACCGAGATTGCTGTCAATCTGCGTTGCAGAATAGGTCTGCAGAGAACATTCCAGAGTGCAGTCACTTTTTAAAAAGGGATGAAATACACATTAGAAAGAAGAGACTTGTTTTGCATGTCGCTTGTTACACCATGCTTAAAAGCTTGAAGTAATAAAGCTGCTCCCTTATTGGCATTAAAACTAATTTTAGTGTAATTACTCATTAACACAGCTCTGCACCACTGAGCATTCTGCTCACACGGCTGTGTACAAATCAGTTTGTAATGGCACTCAAGGCATTTTGAGGGAGAATCGGGCAAAAGGAAAGGAAATAACCCAGTCTTCTAAATAGGTTCCACAGCTATCAACAGTACCACGCTGCTACCAAGCTGGTATTTAATTGCAGCTTTCAGTGGGTGAGTTTTCTTGCCTATTCACTGCTTACCTTCCTTGTACGATTTACAAGCCCTTTGTGCTTTTATTTGGCTCACAGTTTATTTTTCAGACGCCACTAGTTTTTGTTGTGTTTGACTGATCTACCTATAATGCTGTCAGAAGGAATATTTCTGGGTTTGTCTTCCGTGAGGATAAAACTGGGTTTCTGTTAATCTAGGAAATCTTGGCAACTCTCCCAGACTCTTCATCTTGATGCCTCCAGGTTATTCCAGTACTCTGTGCAGATCACTTAAGTAAAAGATGGATCTTATTATATAGGAAGACAAATACATGACTGTGTGGGATGTGTTTTAGATTAAGCAGATGAATTTTACAAATTTATCAGGGGAATAATATTCCTTAGAGAAATTTTGTTTCAATTTAATTATTAAAAAATATATTTGTATTACCATTTAACTGAATAGAATAATTTTTAAAAATGGGCAAGATGCAGCTTTTGCTGTGTAATTTGAAGCGGATCAACCAACAATATTACCAAGACACATCGGAGGAAACAAAGCATTACTGCCAGGGTGTGGAAGATGCATGGTTTGCATTTCAAGTGTGAATAGGTATCCTGGCTCTAAAAAGCCAAGTGCTGTGCTGGAGAGTGACACTGCTCTTTGGAGCTTTGTTCTCTGTAAGCTCATGCAGCAGAAATGAATCTGCAGGCTCCCTTCAGCTGAAATGAAGAACTGAAGTGCTGGTCATGAGGAATTTCTGTACGGACCTGCAACTGCCTGTTGTGCTGGATATGAAGTGCCTTAGCTTTTTCAAAAAAATGGAGGCACTTTGTATGTTAAGTAATTAAAATAGATGTGTGAAGCAGTCAATCAGTAGTTCACTAGAACAGTTCAGAAGATGCTGCTCCAGAGGCGTTTGGCTGATGCAGCTGTAAAACACAAGTTTGTTTTTATAACAGCTTCCCTACAGACTATTCCTCAAACCATTTCATGGTCTTAAATAATATTATTGATAGAATTAGTTAATAGAAGGGTAGGAAATTAAAGCTTTCCATAAGGGGAAAATACTCGGTTGAAGTGTAAAGTGAACAGAAATTTAAAATGAACTGGAAGTCAGTCAAGCAGGCACTTTGGGAAAGATGCTGAAAGCTGTGGGCACCAAGGTGGTGTTTTGCAGAGTACCCTACCTTCCTCCACAGTGGCAACATGGAAGGAGCAAAGACAGGTGCAGTGAGTACATCTCCAGCCCAAGGGGACTATTCACATGGGCTCAAATTTAAACACGGGAAAGGCCTGGTTGATGTGACCAGCACCATAAATGTGGTAGGGTATTGGCACTCTAATTGTCACTTAAGAGAAATGGCAGTGGGGAAGATCCCCTGGCTCCGATGCAGGGCTCCACATCTGCCAGCACTGAACCCCGAGGATCCCACCAGCCCACTTGTCCAGCCTGGCAGGTCCCTCTCCCTCCCCCTGCTCCCCCAGTGCATCCACTGCTCCTCCCGACCCGGCATGCCCTGCAGGCTTGCTGTGGATGCTCTCTGTCCCGTCACCCAGGGCACTGAAGAAGACACGGAACCCTCTCTGCCCCAGAATCAAGCCCTGGGTCATGCTACTCGTTAGCCGGGGTGCCGGTTGGTCTTCACCCCATTCACCACGATGCTGGGAGCTGCTGGGCCAGCCAGCTCTCCACTCACCCCACCATCCACCCATACAGTCTGTGTTTGGCTTTCCTGATTCCACCTCTGCACGCTTTCCGTGCTTAAACTGGGCCGGGAGTTCCCTGTTCATCCAAGCTGGCTTCTTGCCATGCCCACTTGTTTGCCTGCGTGTCGGAAAAGGGATCATTCTGGGGCTGTGAGGAGTTTGTCCCTGCAGATCAACCAGCTTTCCTGGGCCCTGATGCCCACGACGGCAGCTGTCAGTGGGATCGCACATGTCCTGTGACCACACTCAACTTTTTTCTCCTGTAGCCTAGTGTCTTCATCACACCAAATGCCTTCCTCAGTTTCTTCTCTCCCGTTATGGGGATCATTTCAGCCAAGCATGCCACTGACTATCAAATCTCTGAATAGATTTTCCATATTTATGAATAGCAAATCTGGGAAAGCATCTCTGCTGCTGGGTCATCCAGCACTGGTGTCAAGAGCTTGTCCACAACACACTTCGGTGTTCACTGCTTCGAGAAATGGTGATGTTGCAGGTTGGAGTAAGGTTATAGAGGTAGCTGTTAAGTGCTGATAACTTCAGCTAGAACGTTTTCTGCCCCGAGATGCTGCTCTTGCTCTGCGGCACATTGTCATGTACCACTGAACAGGGGGAGAAGCTGTGTAATGAAATATCCCGTCCTGAGTAATCTGCAATCACAGGGTTATCCCTGGGGGTGCAGGGGCCCTGTCTGAGTCCAGAAGAAAAGCTAAAAGGTGGTGTATTTCTGTAGGAAATCTAATTATGGGAACATAAAAATAGCTTAGATTTTGCAATGAATGTGAAATTAATGGTGTAGTCTATTGCTCGGGAGAGGGGTGCTGGACAATACTTAATTGTGATCTGTGGCTGTTACAGCGTGGAAAGGATAATTAGGAAGATATTCTTGAGTATTTGTCTCTCTGTGATCTGTATTTTCAGTACCAAAATGTGTGTTGTGTTCCTGCCTCTGGGAGTCTTGCAGTCCTGTAAAGATACAGGTATTGAAGTAAAGAGCCCTGATTTCAGGATGAAAGCAAGAAGAAACATGCAATTGAAATGTAATTAAATTGGTGATTGTATTTACACCAGTTTATGTTGAGGGAGTGAATCTTTCCCAGTTGACCCCTCTGAGAGTGGAGACAAAACATGGATGGGAGCTTCCGGAAAGGTACAAGATGCGTTGGAGCGGTAGCAGGCACAGCAGCGAGCGGGAAGGGAGGGAGGGCACTGCCAGTGTCCCTGTGGAGCTGGGTCTCACTTGTGGCAGTCGTTGGTCCCAAGAAGTACACCCTTGTCTTTGTGGTAGCGTTCCATATGAAGCAATGAAGCATCTCATAGTTCTGCCCACAGGCTTTTATTAGATTGTCGAAGTCTGACACTGTTATCAGTAGTTGCCTAAAAAATAGAAATTAAAAAGTCCTGCCAATTCAGGACCTAGGTGTGAGATGATGCTTTGGTTGACAAGGTTGTTTTACAACTGAAAATCAGGTTGGTGGTGGTGATAGACGACTTAGAGATCTGAGATGTTCTCCGTGTGTCTGCCTGAGGGTTTGGTTGTCCAGGTAACATCTTGGGGTTTGGTCAGGGGGGTTGTGTGCAGTCTTCCTCCCTGCCGAGACACAAGCCCATGAGTTCTGGTAGGTGGACATGCTGCAGCTGGCAACAAAGCTGTACTAGTTCTGAGCTCCTGGTGAACATCTGAGACATTTTAATTAGTTTCCATCCTTAAAACATGAATAAAGGTATTTGGCCACACATATTCCTGTGTGGAAAATGTCATCGGGTGGCTTAAGCTTGGTAAATAGTTAAGAATCCAGAAAAATTCAGGGTATCCTGAGCTTTAGCATTTTGTTACTAATTGTGTTTCCTGTAAGACTCTGTGGTAATTGGGGTCCAGCTGCTCAGAATATTAGCGTTAGATTTACTGGATGGATTGCTTTAATAGGATTTGGAGAACAGCTATTTGTGCGTTACCGCTTGTGCTGTTAACTTGCCAACCTTTTAACGCAGTAATCCTGGAGATTTACCCTAGCTTTAAAGTAGTAATGCAGGAAGGCATTCTTGACTTACCACAGAAAGTTCCTTAAGTCTTCGTATAATGTGAAGCAAGAGTTGGTCGTGCTTGTTAGTAGCTTTGTGAAATGATGGGGTGTATGTTGAGAGGAAGGAAAAGCACTGATGGAAAGAAAACTTTCATCTTGGTGGAAATGAGGGCAAAGCCTCCATTCCCATGGCCGTACCAAGTTTGTCACCGCGTCTTGCCGCTGGCAGTAGAGCCCAGCCAGCTCAGAAAGCAGTTACCGTGTGAACCGGCTTCAGCCTGTACCTGCACAACCTGGATGAGTTTGCTGCTCTTCAATGAATCTTGTGTATTCTGTCTTTTTTTTTTTTTTTTTAAATGCTCGAGAACAGTATAAATTAACTCTGCATGTTAACGAAATAAAGTAGAAGATTGGGTCTGGATGTATTTTTTAATAAATAGTACAAGTCGGGGGTTTTATTGGTAAATGTTTGGCATTCTGCCTGGTGTACAAAGAAATGAAAGTATTGTTTGCTGCTGGTACGTCCTCTCACGAGGTCACATTTTATCCTCAGTCTTCACCCTTCCCTTTCCCTTGCCACTTCCATTACAATGGAGATTCGGTCTGCTTGCTCGACAGTGACGTGTCCTTTAGTACTTCCCATTAGTTTCCAGTAGTTACCTTGGCCTGCATGTCAGCCTTCAGTTTAATGGCCTTTTTTGTGTGTGTTCATTTTCTTTTGTTTCCCATCGTGGTTTTGTTTATTTCTTTTGTGTTTTTTTTTTCCTGTTTTCTTTTTTTAAACCGTGGTGATGTTTGCCCTTCATATTCCCCAATGTTTGCACATGACAAGATGTTGCCATCCCAACATTACCTCCCACTTCACTGACCAGTGCCACTAATGACCATCTAGCACCAGCTGCAACAGGACCATTGCCTTCAGCCCCGCGGGACGTCGTGGCCACCCTCGTCTCCACTCGCTTCATCAGACTGACGTGGCGGACGCCTGTATCGGACCCTCAAGGAGACAACCTCACCTATTCAATCTTCTACACCAAGGAAGGTATAAACAGGTAAAGATCTCAACCTGTAACATGGGTCGTGCTCTTTCATGACTCTTCTTCACGCTGGCTTTGCTTAGAAGCACTATAAACCGTAAGTCTTTAAACCTCGAAGCCTTAGAGGCTGTGGAGTCTGAGGGGTTGCGTTCCCTTCCCTCCTACACCCTGGTCAGAGGAAGGTGCATTTGTATTTGCTTCTTTGCCTGTGTATATGTATTCTTGTGGGCAATGTTTGTGCATGCTTTTGATTGACTGCAAACAGTCGCTACCTGCTTTTAGCAAACTGCCTAGAAACTAAGAGCAAACGTAGACTGTAACGCTTCTTCAGGAACACTGACACTGCTATAAATGCCATCCACCTCGGGTACGGGAACATCCTCCAGATAATCTGTGTGCCACGGAGGGACTGCAGTCACCTCATGCTTTACAACCCTCTAAATACAGCCTGAGTCTAGAGAGAACCACGTGGTAGGTGCTGATTAAATGTTGACTCTCTCATCGTAATCCCTATAAAGAGAAACAATGAATGTGAAGCATTCATGAGTTTCTGACGTAGCACCACAACCGTTTAGTTCAGTCTACTCCTTTTTCTTACTAATGACATCTACTGCTCGAAATTACAGCTTCAAATTGTTGTGATCAGTTTGAAGAAGTTGGAGCTATCAATCATTTTGAGCACTGCTTAATTAATTGCAAATTAACTTGATTATCAGATTTATTACTCAAAGTTAAGGAAGTCATTTGAAGAACCACACTGCTTCTACGGTAAATGGCCACTGTCTTTTAATTCCGTGGATAGACACGTCGTCCGAGCTCATGACGATTCACTGAGGCAATGAGTAAAACTTTCTTTGCCTCACAAATGTTGTTCTTCTTCTTTAATATTCATCATTATTGGAGATACTTTAATGAGAGAGGAGAAAAGGTGGGGTCCTGCCAGCCATTCTTGCTTCTTCCCTCTCCTTCACGCTTCTGGTTGTAACCACTCTACCCGTTGGGTTTTTAGAAAGTAATTTGGGGAAGATGGCTTCATGCCTCTCCCTGTTCTGGGTCTTGACTTGAGGAAACAAAATGCATCCCTTTCCGCCGCATACAAGCCTACAGAAATCTAGAAAGTATTCCTCTTGGGCCCAAAGCCTGTGAAGAACAGAAGGAAAGCGGCATCTCGTAATGGGTGGTGAATGAATGACTGAGGAAATCACGGGACTGTCTGCAGAAACTGCTGTTTCCAGTCCTTGCGCTGCAACCCTCCGGGCTTGGGTTGATGCAGCCCTCAGGAAGTTGGCACAGCAAAGTCCTTGAGCTGGTGCTTACATGTGAGCCGGTGGTTTCACTGACTTCAGTGAAATCTTTGTTTGCTTAAGCCTCTGCCTGGGTCAGGGGTCAGAGCAGGCTCTGAAAGTGTTTTATTAGCACATAGTCACTGTTTTCTCAACTTCACCGCTCCTTTGCTTTTTGGAGGGGGTTTTTTGTCACACCTCATAAAGACAGTTGGTATCACACACTTCGCAGGTTGGTATGAAAATGCTGTGAAATCCCGCCTTTTCCCCCGGACTTAGAGAATGAGAACAATAAAATCTTAAAACAAGGCAAGGAGAAAAGTGCTGTTCACCACTGTGGTGTTACATGTGTGATGCTTTACCCAGTTGGCTGGGCCCTGTGGGAACCTTGCTTGGTTGCTGAATAAAAAAGTAGGTGAGCGTGTCACACACCTAAGCGGTTGGAAGTTTGAGTTGAGCTTGGATGTGCAACCCTCCTTTCTTTCTCAGTGTTACAAAACGATCACTTTGTAGTCCTTGCATTAGACATGATCTGTGCTGCGGTTTTCAGCACGTATGTACCATCTCCTCAGCCTATTATATATTTGCCCACACGTACCATTTTCACTGCATCCATCACTAGATCCTTTTAGTAGCCTCAGCGTTGTCTCTTCCTCACTTGCATTTGAGCGGTGATCAAACTAGGTGTTTGATTTATTTACCTTTTAAATCAGGCTTGTGAAAAATGAAAGAAGTACACAACATTGAATGGCTCAGCTAGATACTCTGACACCTCTAAACCATCTTCAAAGGGTTGTAGAGCGTCATCTTCGTGCTGTGACTTGTAGGAGCCCTTGAATCTCTCCGCAGTGTACAAGGTGTGTGATTCCTGAGGTACCGGCTGCCTCAGCCACCGCTGATTTACCATCCTTTTATTTTTATCTGGTCAGTGAAAGGAGACACACACAGAAACACGGCAAGGTGTTCCTCACCTTTGCCTCTCAAACCCATTTAGAGGACCGTGGGATGACTGAAACACCATTTCTCCCCCTAATCATGGGGCACCCCTGCGAAAGGCTCCTTCTGTGCCCAGTGTCAGCTTTATGCCACCAGCAGCTTCAGCTGCCACGAGGTGTGTCTGCCCACCGCCCCTGCCCCACGGAACCTTTGGGTTTCGCCTTTCGGACGCAGTGTCGGCTGGCAGAAAAACGTTGGCCCCTGAGCAGAATGTTGCAGGAGATGTGTAAGCAGTGGAAAATGAGGAACTTTGGCCAAAACGCAAACGCTGCCAAAGTTGTAGTAAATTTATCGCTTCTGAAAGGATTGAAGCTGGGTTTGAGAGTGTGTAGCGTCTGCTGAGGAGGAGTGAGTGAGAATAAAGAGCTGTAGGACTTGGAGGTGACGCTCTCACAGAGCAGCTGGCACTCTCCGTGGAGGAGGAGCGTTTCAGAGCGTGACACCGGCCGCCAAGCAGCTTGTTGCACTGCCTACGGCATCTCAGCGGCTGGTGGCTTTCCTCAAGCAACACAGGTCTGCCTGGGGACTCCGCGAGGTCGGAGGGGCTTTTCCTGCGGGAATTACGTGTCTTATGCCTTTACTGTCACACCTCTAGAGAACCCAAGTGGCCTGGTCCCTGCCTGCCTTGTAGGTCGCATCGTTACACAGTCATTTCGCCCTTGTGTTAGGTATCCCAAATGTAAGGCAGTTGCCCTGGAAAGGGTATGAAAATCCACGCATTGGGGGGCAAAGGGAGGTTTAATCCTGTGAAGCTTTAGACAAGCACACAGGCAGAAAACCTCCAAACTTTAAAGATTTAGACCAAAACAAAAGAAATAGCCGGGACGTTGCTGGTACGAGATGGTAAAATGCACGTGCGAGAGATTGGAACAACATTAAACCCACGGTTCAACGTAATGTGCTTCAAACACAGCAAATGGAGCTTAATTGTGTGTAATCACGCTGTCAGAATGTCTCTGAGCTCACTGCCAGGCTCTGCAGCTGATGAGGCTGGCACAGACCAGACTCACTTTTTAACAATTCCCTGAAGGTGTTTTTTTGTTATAACTTTAAACTTCACGTTTCCGGATTACCACTTGTTTCTGGTTTTGAACCGTTGGCTTTTTCCCTTAGGTACGTGATAGCTGTTTTAAACCTTAACTCTAGTTTACAAAGCTGTTTAATTGGGGATTAAACTGGAATGAGTTGGAATAGTCATAATGTTCTGTAGGGTAATACAGTTATTCATATAGACCATCTGTTTTCTTACCTATTATGCCTACCTAAACACATCACAGCTCGTAAAAGGTGCTCAAGGCTCCCTAAGAACGGGCATAAATGAGAGATTCATGTAGCACTTAATTAGATTAATCTCAACATATTTTGAATGTACTGTTGTGAGGGAAGGCTCAGTTCCTGGTTATTACTGAAAATTGCGATACTTTGACATGTCTATTTATTTTTTGTTAAGTGTTGTCTTTCCATTAAAATAATCTGATTTTTTTGTAATTTAAAATAATAACCTTGGGTTGCTGATTTCTTTTTTCCTAGATAGAATCAGTGAGTGCATTTACACTTGAGGCAGAAAATGCAATATATTTTGCATGTCAATGGGAAACGAAGGTTACTCCACAGCTGTGAATCAGTTGGCACTTACTCTGGGTTTTCAAATACCGTCATTATATCTAAGACATGTCTTAAAGGAAAACTATCTGTTTGAACACGCATTTTCAGGCAAACATTTTGCACCAGCTATAAGTGGAAAAGTTACTGAGGGAAAATATTTACCTTTTTCCCTGCGCCCCCAGTTCCTTTCTGTGTGGGTATGATGTGCCTTTGGCATGTGTCTCGCTTCTCTGTCAGCTTCTTTCTTGCAAAAGTACTTCATAAACATTAGAAGAATAAAAACCTTTTGTGAACATTTTAAATTCAAACATGCTATAAAGATGCTGGAAATTAAAAAAAAAAACCAAACCAAAACAAAACCCAACAACAACAAAAACCAAAAAAAAACCCTGAAATCAATTAAGCTGTCTATGCTGTGCCATTTTAGCTCAACTCTCATGCTGGAGAATGTTCTAGAAAATGTGTTTAAACAGATCTGTAGCCACAGTGAGCGTATTGTTTCCCGCTGTGTAGATACAGTGTAATAGTGCAGAAATCAACAGGGATTTCAAAATGTTTTCAACCAAGTTATGCTAAATCAACTGTGCCAGTTGATTTACAGGGAAATAAATTAAAAATGGGGATTTTGGCATCATATTTCTGTGATATAAAGCATAATGGCTGGAAGGTAGAAAAGAGGAGCCTGTAGAATAATTTTGCCTAGGCTTCTGCATTAAATATGATTTAATAGCAGCTAATCGTGGGGATGAGAATCGTCTGCCCTCTACTGCAGAGCTAACAAAGTCTGGCAGACAAAAGGGAAAGAATTGTATTGAAAACAGTCACATTTTCCCCTTATTTTCTCAGTGGGGGAGTTTTTGATTTCTTCTTTCATCATACTGCTTTTATTTGTATTTAAGGGAGACTGTGGCTTCTTTTCACGACAGGTTATGTGGATGTTAGCCAGACGGAGCTCTCTGAAAGTTCACGACAACTGCAGTGTCTCGGAAATAAAGGCTGTAGTTAGTTGATAATTAATCATTTAATCTTCCCCTCAGCCCTGAGCTTGGTAAGAACCGCTGGAGTTTCCTGAACTACGCTCAGCACCAGACCATGCTTCCCCAGGCAGGAGGCAGCGGGTTTCCCCGGGACCAGGGTTGCAGTGGAGGGTCTACACACAGGGCAGTCATCCCCCCGGTTGCCTCGGTGCAGTCTGTTCTCCCAGCTGGACAAGCTTGCAGCCTGCAGGACGTCGGCCCTTTTGCTGAGCCCAACAGGAGTGCTCCTTCCCGCACGGTGCACTCTCTTGTCGGGCTCTGGCAGACCAACTGGGGGGGTCGGAGCTGTCCGCTCAGCGTTGCTGGAGGCGAGCATCTTCACAGCCCTCACCTGCCCGACTCCCAGCCACGTAAACCGCTGCCAAGGAGTGGCTTCTGCTCGCGCTCGGACCGACGGTGAGCAGCGGAGAGGTGGGCGGACGCTGCCGTCCGCTGACTCCACGGCTTGTGTGGTGACGGCGTGAATGCCATGGCTGTCGGCCTGGGCGCGTGCGAGTCGGAGCCCACGCAGGTTTTGAAAAAATCTAAACACTAGGGAGGAAGTAAGTAAAGTTTGGAGGTAGAAGAATACATTAAAACAGCTTCTTTGAAAAATATACAAAAAGCCTGCCCACAATATTAACAAAAATGCCTTAAATCTCACCAGACTCTGTGCATGTTGCTTAAATACTTTTTTAAATATGGCTTCAGAGTAGTAGGATAAACGGTCGCTATGAATTCCCACATGCTGTTATGACAATAACAAAGAAACTAAGAATTTTGTGATGTTGAGTATAATTTATTCTTTGTCACCAGTGCATTTTTGTTGTCAAAGAGAAGTTACAAAATTAGAAGTGTTAGTTACCAGCGATTTTGGTGTACTCTTGTTTGATTGGTAGCGAACGCAGTATAAATACCCACATCGTTACGCGTTAGATATGTTCAGAGGGGATGGTACTTAGTGGCAACTGTTCCTTTATTTACCCCTCCAAAACCCTTTTACTAATCAATGATGGTTTCTGTGCCCAAACCTTTTGTTTCCTAAAGGGAACGTGTTGAAAATACAAGTCGTGCTGGAGAGACACAAGTCACGATCCAAAACCTGATGCCGGAAACAGTTTATGTCTTTCGTGTCGTGGCTCAGAACAAGCACGGCCCCGGAGAGAGCTCGGTACCGCTGAAGGTGGCAACCCAGCCTGAGGGTAAGCTGGAAATATTTCCAGTCCTCTTGACTTGGGGATCGACTTCTTTTGTTTTGCCCATTCGTGACCTTTCCCAGAATAAGTTGATACTGTTAAAAGTTTCACTCAGTGTCCCTGACCATGGTTTCAAAATGCTTTTCCAAGTTACCATGTTGGTACTTTGATGGTTTGTTCTCACCCCCACGAAGAACTGATAGGACATTCCTTGTTAAATTCTCTGAAGTTTCTGTTATAAAACACTTCTAAATCGTCATTAACTTACAGAAAAACAAAGCAAACTGTAAGAAAATGCCAAGTGTGTGATTTGTTAGGGTCATTCAGGACACAAGGAATCTGATGCAGGGAGCAGGATCTCCTTCAGGAATTTGGCCTCACCTTTACACCCCCAGTGAATCCGTGTGAAATGCTGAAATATAAAAAAATACCCATCTTTTAACTGGCGTCAATTAATAGTGAAGTTGACGCTGAACTAATTAGCTACTGAGAGTGTTAACGGGCTTGGTGACTAGCGGAGTTTCTCACTTACATTCCAGTTCAGCTTCCCGGTCCAGCACCCAATATCCGAGCGTACGCCAGCTCACCCACCTCCGTTACTGTCGCGTGGGAAACACCGTTGTCTGGCAATGGAGAAATCCAGAACTACAAGCTCTACTACATGGAGAAGGGACAGGACACTGAGCAGGTACGGAGCACGCTGCTTCCGGCGTGATGCACAGTGACATTGACTGCCTTTCTTCTCTTACTCTGTTTTAGCTGAAATTACTAGAAGCACCTTATGATGTGCTCTGACAGACTGAATCCTTTAGCCTAAAATACAGAAATACTTCAAATTAAAAATCCAGCATGAAATGCGTGTGTATTACAATTCCAGCCGTATTTGATGTGCTGGCGTACTGAGGTGCTCATCAGCACCCGGTGGCATCTGGGCACGTCCGTCGTATCACAGGAGGGAAACTCCGTAATAGCTGTGTCATCCTGAGCAGTTCTGGTCGGAAAGGGTAACGGGTGCTTGCACAGTTTTTCTAGGTTGGCTGGTGTTATTTTAGTAAAGTGGGCTAATCACTGATCTTAGCGTCATCCTTGATCTGAACTGTTCTTGCTTCTTGAGTTCCGTGATCCAGTGATTGATGTTTTGATAGTGATGTCTTAATGGATTAAATTTTCGTAGGGTTCTGCTGGAAGAATGCACTGTGCAAGTATCGTTGTCACAACTGTGGGAGGATTAATCCCATATGTTTAATTTCCCATCCGAGTGCATACGAATATGGCTCCAGCTTTAAAAAAAAGCTAAGGGAAGAATATTTTTGTTAACATTTACAAATAATTTTTGACAGAAGTTTTTAAATAGGAATGTTGTATTCCTCAGATAAAATTACCTTTTCTATCTCAGCATCCCACTGTTCCAAATACAGTAATAATTTTTACTGACGGGCGAGTTCGTCAGATCTCTTTTAATTTACAGAACCAGTGTCCGTGTCATGATTTAGATTGGATAGGTAGAATTTTCTCTTGCAAGCTCACTGTTAGCATCTTGGCGCATCCTGGCCGTACGTAACCTGTGGGCTTGATCTGCAGGTGCTACAGAAAGGTGCCACTCCTGCTTCTGAGTTTATTACTCTACTGAAAGTCGAGGGCATTGATAACAGTTGCTGACCTTGGCTTGTATGTGTGTTTGTTTCCGACAGGATGTTGACGTAGGAGGACTCTCCTACACCATTAACGGATTAAAGAAATACACAGAGTATAGTTTCCGAGTGGTAGCTTACAATAAACATGGTCCTGGAGTCTCGACCCAAGATGTGGTTGTACGAACGCTGTCGGATGGTAAGCTGCTTTATTCCCTCTTTATTTTTTTGGCACGAATTATGTGGTAATTTCCTTTAAGTGAATTTTTAACCAGAAAGACCCCTATGTTTTTTGTTCACTGTTGCCCTATTTGATTAATAGCGTAGTTGTTGCATATGGCCATGTGTGCTGAAAGTTCCCCCGGAGGTTTCCCAAATTAGGGGAAGGAAAATTACTATACCCCATTCTGATTGTGAAACAACGGTGTCCTTCATTTCAACCTCAGTAGTTTATTTCATGGGTTATTGAGTCTACAAAATATTAAGAGTAGACACAAACACAATTAATTGAAGGGAACAACTCCAAATTATTTTTTAGTTTCTATAATATTTTTAGATGTGAGCAGACTTTTGCTTTAGGAGTGCTTTCGTTTTAGTTGTGGTCATATGGGAAAATGTTGTTTGGACTCCACCACAGATACTCTTGGATCAATTGCCTGTAATAATGAAATGGTAGCAGTGTTTTCTGTAAGGCAGATAAAGAGGTAATGTCAGCAGCTGTGGATATCTGAACAGCTGTGGAATGATTGGAGGTTTTCAGTAGAGAAGTCTGTTTAGATATAACAACGGTCAGACCAGAAGTGAGCCCACTCTGGAATCCTCTCTCCAGGAGTGACCAAAAGCAGAATAGACGAGCAGAGAGGAGTATTGTCTCCAATTCTATGTCCAAAAGTTTGTTTCTCTGGGACTTCTTAACCCTGCAGTGGTTTCTGTGTATTTACTAATTCAGTTTCTCTTCTATAAAACCCTGTCAGCATCCTCTTTAACCCGTGTCAGCTTTTATCATCCACAGCATCAAGGGGACAACGTTTCCGCAGACACATTTGCTCTGAAAAATCACCCAGGGTTGTCTGTTTTGACCCGGCTGTATGTTAGCATCATCTGCTGCCTGTAGCTGTACTGCCTGAAAGAGTGAATAGTCAGTGTCCACCAGACCTCTCTGTCCCACTCCTCATTTTATAGACCTCTGCTGTATTCTGCCTCCCTCATCTCTTTTGCAGATTCAAAAGTCACGGACATGGTTAGCTATTTCTTTTGTGGAAGCTGTTTCAACCTTCAGTGCCCTTTTCTGAACTTTTTTCAAGGTTTCTTTTCTCCTACAGAGAGGAGGTAGAGGGGACCCAAATTGTATCAAAGATGCAAGTGCATAATTGCTAGCATTTGACTGGCTTTTTTGGCTCATTTTGAGCACTGGGGGGACATTTTTGGGGTAGACCCATCTTGGTGGGATTAGTCTGCTTAGAGCCATGATTTTGCATATAGAGGCAAGTTCATTTTTCCCATGTGCGTGACTTTATCTACCAGACGTTTCATCCGTCACCTTAATATCCAGGCACAAAATGTCCTGAGGTCTTTCTGCAGTTCTTTGCCATCAGATCTTGTCTGTACTGACATCTGTCACCTCGCGGCTCATCCCCCTTTCATCACTTCATGTGTTGAGCAGCAGGGTCTTGGCATGTGCCGCGGTTGAGCTCCACAGGTATCTCCCACCAGGTACCTCCCTTCTCTCTCCTCTCTTTCAACCAGTTGTTTACTCAGGCAGAGACTTCTCTCCCCTCATTGCTCTGTTTCGGAAGAACTCTCCTCCAGGTTTGTGATGCAGAATTTCCCTTCAAAAAGTGACAAATACGTATTATTACTCCATGTATCCATGAATTTCATGCTTTATTGTAGCTTCAGTTTATTGTCCTAATACAAGTTTCTGGCTTACCACTTGAAGTTTTTCAAATGAAACCCCTTCTAAATACCAGCACCAAATTTCCCATCTCCCAGTACTGAGTTAACTGGGGAGGGGTTACAGCCTACTCTAAGTCATGCAGACGTTTCATTCCCAAGTTCCTTGAGAAACCCTGGATGAGTAGCACCGCACCCTGGCAACATGCTGCTCTTCGTTCCGACTCTTCCATAATTCCTTATATTGACATTTTAGTTTGGGAAAGCCTGTAAGTCCCTTGGAAAAGGGGATCACGGAAACCTCTCCTCTTCCCTTCACGCAGTACAAATGCAAAGGGGATAGTTGTGTGGATCTATCTTTTTTTTTTTTTTTCCCTGTAATACCCTGACCATTTGCTAACTCTACAGTTTGTCCAAAGGGCTTCCAGCCCCTTATTTGTTCGAAGAAGTTATCATTAGTTGTAAAATCATTTCCAAGTTTTCACGAAATTCTTTCTGGTCCAACTTACGTTTTCACATTTAACCTATATACGTTTATTTTCTAAAGCTTTTTGAAGGCGGTTGTCTTGCTTCTTCCAATCTTACAACCATGCTTCACCACGCTGTTCTCTCCTTCAGTCTCTCAAATCTTTCTGGAGGAAAGGCGCACGCTTTCTTCTTGTGTTTTCTTATTGTGGTGTCTGTTAGCAATCTCCGTGTTTCCTGCAGGGATTTCATTCCTTTAGCTTCTATTTAACAGGCTTCTGCTTTTTTAATGTAGGTGTTTGCTCCTAATCTGTCAGGGTGGTTTGTTGCAGGATAGCTCTTTGGGTATTACAGTTTCAACCAAGGTTTATAAGGATTATGAGGATTGCTTCTCTTCTCACAGTCTTCCTGATCTATGGAAGCAATCATTTATCAGAGCTAGAAATGGAATCTCAGCATCACACCCTGCTTAGGGCATTTCCCTTACCAACTCATCCTTGCAGCCTGTGGTTCCCCTGCCTGGGTGGTTGCTGTACAACACACTTTCCTCTCCAGGCATGGGGTATCAGCCCATAGGAAATCCTTCTTATCTGTTGGCCTGGTTAAGGTCTTGGTCTGATCTGAGTCTGCGCGTACTCTGACATAAAGTGAACTGTGCACGTGGTGAGGGATGTGTTCATGAATATATTTACACGCACGTATCCTTTCCTGTCTCTGCAGTATATGCATTATTAATCACTCCTTGTGAAAGCCATGACTGACTTTTAGGCTGTGCTGCATTTAGGCACCAACTGCGCAAAACAAACAGAAAAAAAAAAAAAAAAAGCTTAGCTTTATTTCATTTCCTTCTCTTACTTCTGTTCTTGCTTTTTGAAAGGCACAGTGCTTAATCCCTAGGTCTGGTGATTTCAGACTCAGATCAGTTGGCAGGAGAGAAGGGAGAACAAATCCTTGTTGTCTCCATTTCCGTTGTGGGGCAGTGGGGGTGGGTACTGATTTAAGCACACCCCAGCGTATCTCTCTTTCAGGACAGAGCTACGTTCACATCTTGCCTGCAGGATGCTTTCTTCAGTATTGTTGTGGCCGGTGTGAGTTACCTGGAAAATGTATTTATTCGGCCGGAAGGGTCTTTAGCCCTGTTGTGCTACTTGCCTGTCCTTGTGCGTTGCGGGAGCCTCCCCTTCCTGCCAGGGAACTCTTATCTCTGCCTTTGAGATAACGCCTGTGAGTCTGAAGTGCTGGGACAAGGATTTCCTGGGTCTCAGGTTCTCTCTGGCATTGCCCTTATGTCTAGTGGGGTTTCCCTGTCGCGACCAGTCAGTCGCTGCAGGTAGTGAAGCACTAACACAGAGTGGAGGTTTGAAAGCAGGACCCGTCTTCCCAATGCACTTCACCTCTTCAGCAACACAGGGACGTGTTGACTCTGGGTTTTTCCTGTTACAGAAAGTCATGACAACAAAAAACACCGCTAGAATTCTAAATGGGGGTTCCCAGAATCCAGCACGTAAATTAAAGACTTGGTTTTGAAAAGTACGGAATGTGATCTCTTTTCTTAGAGTTTATGGGAAGTACTTTTAAATATAAGACATTTTTATTTAGATGCCTGTGATAAGTAAAGACCTGAACAAAAAGCGAGTTCGTTCTTTGTGATGAAAATACGGAAACCCCCGGAGTCAGTCACTGTATGTCATAAAGTAGCTCTGGCAGGATCTGTAGTTACTTTATGTACTATCTTAAACCAGAATGGTTTGTACTTTCCTAACAAATGACAGCAGAGGGTAGTTGTGTGTGGAAATAGAGTATTTGATACAGTATAAGGAAATTTTTGAGATTTAATTCATTTAATGTTTCTAGTTCCCAGTGCTCCTCCACAGAATCTGACACTGGAGGTACGGAATTCCAAGGTAAGATGTGGAGAATTTCCTGTTGGTAATGGGTAAATAAAAGGCTGGTGGGTCTTAGAACAACCAAAATTTAGAGCTGCTTTGGGTTTCTTTCCTACTGTGCTGCTCCTCAGGTATTTGTGTAGGAGCAGCCCAACAGGAGAATAACTGAACGTGGGGCTTGAGGCATTAGAAACTCCAATCCAGTTGTGGATTGTACATAACGGAATGCAGTGAAGACAGTGACAGTGTACCAAAGGCTAATTATGATGGTTAATTATGAAGGGTTTAATCATGCTCAAAAGCCTGAAGCACCAGCCCTTGAACGTGTTCCTGTTGATTAACTATTGTTCACAGTGTGTCTGCATGCCTGTGGGCGTTTATAGTGTCCTGGGCACTTCAAAGGAGAAAATCATATAGTCATTATGACTTTATGACTGGAGATTTTTTTAAAAAGCCATTTTGACTCTTTTCCAAATGCCTTTTTCTACTGCCTGTATGATTAAAAATAAATAACTTCCTGCACGTAAATTACGGTTCAGATAACCCTTCAGAGAAAATACCAGTTCTTAAAGGTAGATCCTCAAGCAAACCGTATCTTAAGATAACGTGAGGGAAATGAAAGGGAAACCCAAGGGGCCATTTGTGAAATTGGAATCAGAGGGTCAAACAGGACTGAAGCACTTGGAGGTGAACTTCTACAGGCACATGTATGACCTGGGCTGCTGCTGAGTCATAGCGGGTTTTAGACTTCGCAGATAGTCGGTGGTTTACAATATGAAAACACCGTATTCTCCGTTTGCATGTTTTTCTGTCTTGTGTTTTGTGAAGAATTAGCACTAGAGTAGCTTCTCGGGTGGTGTGAGAGGGGATGACTGTGTAATGACCTTCTGCCTTCCACAGAGCATCATGCTGCACTGGCAGCCACCCCCTGCAGGGACACACAGCGGACAAATCACCGGCTACAAAATTCGCTACCGTAAGGTGTCCCGTAAGAGTGACGTGACAGAAAGCATTGGCGGGACCCAGCTTTTTCAGCTAATTGAGGGTGAGCTGTTATTTGCAAGCCTTTGTTACCAGAAGGTGTGTTTTAGCTGCTTTCAGTGGGCTGGGGCTGAGACATGTTTATGCAGGGTCTTAGCTTGGAAGAAAAAATGACAGTACTGAGAACGAGTGTCGAAGTTCTGAGGTAGCGTGGGCAGCCTGCCTCATGGTAACCAAAGTCTCCCGGCCTGGTTTCCAGCCCTGACTTTGCCATCGGTGTGCGAAGTGGACTGGACCAGTCCTTTTAACCCCTTTATAAAAGGCATCGGGCGGGCGTGGAGAAGGTGGTCCTGAGCTCATTGTGTCTGCCCCAATGCCAGGTGCAGGAGTCCGGAGAAGGGTGCCAGCGGTCTGGCTGGGTGTCCAGCGGGCTCAGCTGGTGCGTGCGGGTGTAACGGAGGTGTGCTCACCAGCACGCCCAGCCCAGAGTCCCATGGACTTCCTCCCTCAGGCATCTCTGCAAACAAATCATCGTATCACTGACATCAGCCGTTCTCCTTCTTTCTGGCAGAGGCGTAATATATCCCCTGTTCATTTTGTATACTTTAAAAATCCAACCTGGTACCTTACGAAGTGTAAATTATATATTGCTACCAGAACTAGAATTTTGTAAAGCAGAAATAAATAGTAGGTGAGAAGAGGAACAAGACTGCATTTTGTTCATTTTTTAAACCTCTGTAAATGAACGCTTGGTCAAAAGAGAAGAAATTGTGCCTCTCTAGAACATGAATATGCACTTTTTAACAAGAGGTTTTGATTTGTTCTCAGAAACTCCAGCTGTGACTCTGTAAGTTTCAGTTTTCTCAGAGTAGGAATTGATATGTCCCTGTAACCAGGGTATATTTTTGCCAGCAGCAAAGCTTGTTGAAGAAGTTCCATATATTCAATTGGGTGCATTTTCATACTGCTCTGATTATTGATTATACGCTGTTCCGTACCACGAACCAACTATTTGCTCATTTTGGTCACTGGTTGCCTGTACTCTACAGCTACGTTTAGTTATGGATGAGCGTGGTTCTGTACTTCAGTGAACAGCCAGAAATGAAAGCTCACGGTGTCTGCCACCGGGACCATCTGCAGAGTGTCACAGTTCAGCTGTCACACCCTAACTGGTGTCATCGTCCTCGGCGGAGCTGCGCTGTGGGCAGTGCTGTTGCCATTCCTGACCTCATGTTACGCTCCAGTGGCAGTGCTGGGCTGGAAGGCATTTTACCATCAGGTTATCCCTGTATTTCCATTAGGAACTGGGATTCCCATGCTCGCAGCTGGGATTCCAACGCTGACATCTTGGGTGCTCCTTGTCTCCTAGGCCTTGAGCGAGGTACAGAATACAGCTTCAGAGTAGCTGCCTTGACTGTTAATGGGACTGGACCCGCTACCGACTGGGTGTCAGCGGAAACGTTTGAGAGTGATCTGGATGGTAAGTGTGAAGGTAGCGATGACAGAACCATCACCATTTGCCGACGGGGCACAGTAAGGGTTGATTGCCTTTTTTAAAGGCAAACCTGATTTTGTTCAATTGTTTTTACTGTATTCTAATTATACCATGTGGTTTATTTATGATTAAATGAAACTAATTTTCATTTTAACATAAAATTCCAAGTCAGTTAACTGGCTTGGAATTAAACCATGCTCCTACTCTTTCTAGTACTGTGTATTTGCGCTGTGGTTTTTCTGCTAAGAAATACCCAATTATGAATTCCAGTGTCAGTGTTTCAATATTTTAATAATAATACAACATAAGATTCATATAATTGTAATAATGGCTTGCTTTTTCTATCGTAATAAAATACATCTTGTTAATTATGCAGGGGTTTACATGTTGTGAAACAGAGGTAGGAGGACTGTTTTCCTTGAGGGAATTAAAAGAGTGATTATGTATTTATGCAGCACGTAAGTTATGCTAATGAAACCCTTCAGGTATACCTCAAAGAGTTCAGAGCGCAGATCAGTTGGTCCACGTTTGGTATTTATTACACTACAGTAATCTGCACGTGGGAACCTGATTCTTGCAGAACTCAAATGAGCAAATTTCTGAATCTCCCAGAATCTGACTAAGAGCAATTAGAATGGAAGAAAAGTGCTATTTTTAGAAGTATGGCTGGGGTGAATCTCTTTGGAATTGCCTACATGGAGCTGGTCATTCTGGGTAGACTGCTTCCGTTTCAGAAGAGCGTTTAATTAGTGCTGTTGCATACAAGTTACCTTGTGCTTTTTGCAGGCCAGTCTCCCTCTTGGCTTTGTTAAAGTAGCTGGAGGGACATCCTAGCTTAGTGCCACAGGATCCAGTAATGACTTTCACATCTGCGTGGCTTGAGATTCAGTTATACTGGCAGCTGGAAGACAGAATAATAAAAGAGCTTCAATATTTGCTTTACACTGTTGGAAGATTGCTTCAACAGTCAGCTGATTAAAGCCCTTGAGAGCCCACGCTTCAATCTCTGTTATGCAGAGTTGATGCTCAGCTTAATAGTTGTTCTCTTGCTGCGTATTCTCCGTTGTTTAATCAAGAACAGTGCAAAACACAGCATTAACAGGAGAGTTCAGTTGTTTAGTCATTTAGAATTACTTTTTAGAGGTGAAATTACTTGCATCTGTGTGTCCGTCTTCCTCTTAACTGGATGTGACACAGTCTTGCAGCTCTGAGAAACCACTCGTTCCCCAAACTGAAGTTTAGCTCTGTAAATGGGCAGCACTTACCCAAGGTAATGAAAATATACTGCTTTTGAGTTAGAGCTAACGGTGCTTTGCCAGGGGGTGGCATCAGGATTGAATTTAAACAGGGAGAGGGAGGGAGAAGAAAAGCACCCTTTCGTTCTGTGTTGATTGTACAATTTTAATTTTCTTCAAATTGGAATGGTGCAGTCCTTGCAGGAAATCTTTCTTTATACGTGTGCTTTACAATGAATAAGGTAATAAAAATTCACGGTTAAGGCAATGCAGCATGGTATTCACTCTGTATACATGAAATATTTGTGTATGTGCCTACTGGAAAGAAAATAATGTATTCTTTGCTTTTTTTTAGTAAGCTCAGGTGGGTAATTTTAATACCATGCAGAGGAATTTACAGCTAATCTTTAATTTCTCAGGTTCAACAGACACGTATGGCCTAATTCCTTCTGATTCCAGGGCTATTTTTTGAATTTACATAGAAAATAATTCACATCAGAGAGTCACCAGTGCAAATGTTGCAGCTTAGTGTTGGCAGGGGCGCGTAGTTTTGCAGAGCCGGCGCGAGTCCCACCAGGAGCGCATGTGCAAGAAGTGTTAAACAGTTGTACAGAGTTTATCCCCAGGGCACTCGCTTCTGGGCAGTTCGAAATGTCGTCTCTCATACTGCATTCTGTACCTTTTCTGTATTTAATGGTTGTGAGCGTTAATTGATCAGCTCTGTCAGCTGGAGACCATAAACTCCCCAGGCGGGCTGGCCAGTGGCATATTATGATCCGAATAATCCTGTTGTGGGGCTTTATTAAATGTTTTTAGATAAATGCAGCGCGTTTCATTAAAATGAATTCCCTGCAGGAAGCAGAACTCTCTGAACTGATTTTATTTGGGAGTGGGGAACTCAGCTTCCTGTTGCACAGAACCATTTACAGTCCATCAACACACAGCAGGCTCCAGTGGCCTGACGAAAGTACTTGCTACGTTTCCGAGCAGGTAAAACAAAGCTGTGGCCGCTAGTAGGTACAGTTGTGCTTTCCGATTGCTTCTACGTTCTCAGCAGCAGTGGGAAAAGACATTTTAGTAAAAATATTAGGGGATTACAGCGACATATTGTGGAAGTCCTGCTATTATGGATCCACATTCCATCTCTGTTGGGCTGTCATTAGATTTGTGTTGCATGTGGGAGTAGGATTCAACATTTGGTAAAGACTCTTAAGTGCTTTTTGATTTTGTGGTATGGTTGTGTAGTCCCTGCATGTATTTTGTGAAGTAAGTAGAAGAAACTCGGGGATTTAAACAAATCACAAGAAACCTTTGCAGCACACTCAGTTCCCTGACAATTCTTAGAGCTTTGGGATATTCTGGTCAATCCTACAGTAAGCTTAGGAACCTTTCTGTCATCATCTGTGTGTTTTCAGTATAATTATTTTCATGTTCACAACTAAGTAATACGATGGAACTAAAAATAGATTGCTTTGTGGAGGGGAAGGATGTGATAAATTTAATGCCTATTGTGAAAAATTACAAATTGGAAAGAACATGCACAAACATCAAAACAGTCCGCTTTGAAGCAGTACTTCAGTACAACTCTTCTTTCATTTAAAGACAGTATCTATTAAAATATATTCGTGTGTGAAACTGTTAATTTTCTTCTGCTTATTAGAGTGCTTTGCTCCCTCTTGGACACTAAAGCTCTCTCCTCCTTTGGAGCGGGCTCGTTTCAGTACAGACACCGCGTAGAAGTGCTACGCTTGACGTTACTGTCTCGTAGCTCTTCATGTCGTTACCTATATTTAAGAGAAATCCTCTACATGCGTCATCCTTCTTCAACAGAAACTCGTGTTCCCGAAGTCCCAAGTTCCTTACACGTCCGTCCGCTTGTCACCAGTATCGTAGTGAGCTGGACTCCACCTGAGAACCAGAACATCGTGGTGAGAGGCTACGCGATAGGGTACGGCGTTGGCAGTCCTCACGCGCAGACCATCAAGGTGGACTATAAACAGAGATACTACACCATTGAAAACTTAGGTAAGGGAAGCGAATTCTCCTCAGTACCCAGGTCTTACCTCTCATTTACGTTACTGTTTCCTTATTCTGGTAACGTAAGTAAAAAAAACTACGTGCATATTTTTAAGAGTATTTTTTTTCATATTCAGTTATTATACCAGGTGCCAAACTGTTGATAAACTTCAAATAAACTTAATTTTCTGATGATAGAGAAAGAAGTAGAGAGATTGGAAAAAACCCAAATCCAGAATCCTAAATTCACCGAGTTTGAAGCATAGTGCATTTTGATTTGATGCTTTCCCTTCAACACTTCTTATAAAAGCTTTCATACTGAGCAGCACTCCCTTGTTCTCCTCCTGGAGCTGCAGAGCAGGTGGCTTCAGGCAAAAAAAAAAAACCCTAAAATGTCACCAAGATACAATGTCATCTACTTTAAAAGAAAAACATAGATTCACCCCTCCAGAGAATTCGCTGTGATAGGTAAAATATCCTGAAAGCAAAAAAATACTAGTATTGAGAAGTTCTGTAAAATTGGAGTTTTGACTAATTTTATAGTAGAGCAACTTAAAATGTTCATTTTACAGTGTTTTTCCTCACTACTCTTTTGACTGCACTTGAGGTACGTTTGCTTTGATTATAGACTTCTGCTGCATGAGAACTGTTGAACGCTAACAGAAGGTCTGTGTGGAGACTTTCTCAGTTCAAATTCCGACTAGTTATTTGTGTATTTCAGTTAAAAACCAGAATACTGAAGGAAGAGAATATGGAGAAGCAGCAAATAGCATTCCCTGAACAGCTGGCCCTAAAATAATATTTGTTTTTTCCCTCTAGACCCAAGCTCCCATTATGTCATAACTCTGAAAGCGTTTAACAACGTTGGGGAAGGAATTCCTCTCTACGAGAGCGCGGTGACCAGGCCTCACTCAGGTAACGGCGAGGGGCTGTTTTTACGTTCTGCGCAGCTGAAACCTGTTAACAGGCCCAGCAGCTGAAAATGGGGTGACATCTGACGGATGCGTCGTGGTTTTCAGTGTCACACTCCAGTTGTTTACTGGCTGGCCTTACTGTTCCAGTGATTGCCTCCCATGTGTCATCCGTTTATTAAACAACCTAAAATTGGTTTCATTTTTAAATTACAAAACTTGCCTTTTTATAGATGTTCTTATGCGAAAAGTTACCATTACGTCAGCAGAAATTGTGGGGCAGTTCTAAAGGCACGGCCCTTATTTTGTTTTTTATGGGCAAGTATAGATTTTGGGTGTTTTGGTCTTTTACACTGAGATTTTGAATATGAGGTCTGCATTTTCTTTGCCTAAGTCTCAGTCTGCTGTCACTTAACACTAAGCAAGTTCTTGGCTTTTTTTTTTTTCTTATAACACATTATTAATTAAGCAGAGAAGTTTGTTTGCAAGTGAGCTGTTACTGTGCTGTGACTCACTGTGCTCCCTACTAGACTGTTGACATTACGTCGTTATTCTGTGTAAATGTTAACACCCCTGTTTGTTTTAGTCTTCTGAAGAGCAGGAATTCTTATAGACCTTAGAGAGGACATTGGAATTGCATTTTCTTCAGTTATTACAAATTTGCATGACACGTGGAACTTGACTGCCATTAATGTTTTTTAACACTTTCGGGGGAGTTCCCTGCAATTCTTATGAATTTACCCATCTAGAAGTCGTCCAGCTCTTTTTCCTCCCTGTTTTCTGGAAGAGGAATCAGTGGGCATTCTGAGGCAAATAAAGTGACAGTTAAAATTACTGTATGTTTTGGGGTTCGTAGGCCATGTGAATGCACTGACCACTAATAGGATGAGGTACATATATTAGCGTATATGTGTGTTGTCTTGCTGCCTGAGGAGGGGAACACAGTGCAAGAGTAATTTTATTGGCCAGTCTTGTGTCACCTATTAACTCTGGCTTTTCTCTCTTTCTCTCCATTTCTCACCTTTCATTTCATTGTACTACCCTGCATTTCCCCTTTTTTGTTTTTGTTTACATTAAAATGCCACCTTCTCCCTTTTTAATTATAATACACTACTTTTTACCCATCAATTCCCTAGACACTTCCGAGGTTGATTTGTTTGTTATTAATGCTCCATACACTCCAGTGCCAGATCCGTCTCCCATGATGCCACCGGTGGGAGTTCAGGCTTCCATTCTGAGCCATGACACCATACGGATCACTTGGGCAGACAACTCTCTGCCGAAGAACCAGAAGATCACGGATGCTCGCTACTACACAGTTCGCTGGAAAACCAATATTCCCGCAAATACGAAGTACAAGGTATGGGAGCTCCAACAACGCTAACACGGCGGCATGTTATCAGGGGGAAGCTGTTTGATGTTCAAGTCAGGGTTAGGTGAAAGCTGAGAGTGAAGACAAGCGCTCAGAAAGCGGTGTAGAGGTGTGCCCAGGTTTTTTGAGATGCCTGGGCTGAGCTCACACCAGTACTGCTCTGTTAAATCGTCGCTTCTCAACGTAGCGGAAGTAGTTGTGTGTGAAAGAGACTGAGGTGGGGTGTTGTGTGTGAGTGAATGGAAGAGCTGGCTCAGGGAAAGAAGGCAAACAGCTGCAGAACTACACTCTGCTCTGGAGCCGTGGAGAGGTGACAGTTCTGTCCTGTCTGCTTCACCCTAACACCATCACTTTGTGTGATGGCTCTGGGTTTACCTCTAGGGGAGCCAATAACGCGTTCGCAAGGTGTGTGTTCCTCCTGACGCCAGCCAGCAGAAGGACCTGAGTCCGTGGGGCAAGTCATGCAGGGGAAATGTTTACCCTGACAGTTTTAAGTTTCCTTTTACAACCCTTCCTGTTCATACGAAGGTGATAGTGAATCATAGAATGGTTTGGGTTGGAAGGGACCTTAAAGATCATCCAGTTCCAACCCCCCTGCCATGGGCAGGGACACCTTCCACTAGACCAGGTTGCTCAAAGTCTCATCCAACCTGGCCTTGAAGACAGGTGAACTTCCCTTTGGGAACTAAGCGGGTGCAGGCTATGTAACAACAACTTCATAATACCCTGCCTGCCTTCATTTTCATCTACTGTTTTGATGTGGAGACGAGATTTGGGGTACAGTTTAGGCGTTTGGAATATTTTAGTTGGTTGGACTTTTTTTTTTCCCCCCAGAGTTATCTGGAGGCCTCAGAAACGCTGACTGCAAATTTCGTACTTGAAACGAGACTCAAAGGAAATGGTTGTTAAAATATCCAGCTAGTGGAGCTCCCTTTATGCTCTTGCAGAGCAGTCTTGTTACAAACCAGACTCTTTTTTTTTAATTGAAATGAAAAGATGTATATATGTGTGTTCTTCCTCTGAAGGCAAGTTATTTATGCACCCACATTCCTGAGTCATGTGCAGAGGATGTCTCGGGAGTGATTTCTATAATGCTGCAGTTTCGTGAGTTAAATGCTTTAAAAAAACCCACCCTCAGTGGTAAATCAGATACTCCCCCAACATTCTCGTTGCTGGTTGCCAGTGGTCAAGAAATTTTATTGTGGACCAAAAATAATATGTAATAATGGAATATAGTTCAAGATCAGTCATTGTAAAAACCATTTGCCTGAAAGGACCTAAGTTTGAGAAGATTAGCTCTAATCATTTTTTAATCATCATGTTTGGAGAACTCCCATCCTGCCTTTCTGTGTTTCAATCATGAATTTTGTACTACTGCGTTGGACCACAACAAATGCTGATTTTAAGGGAGACAAAACCTCTTTTCAGCAGTGCTGTTCAGTAAGGTGACGCATTTCAGTCAGCCCTTCGGTAACTGTATTAGTACGAGCGAGTACATTGTTTGTCATGGCCATCTCTAGCACCGTTGTTTATTGCATGTTTTGGGGCTGCTCACCCAGTTGCATCGGAGCCTCTCTGTTACACAGCTTCGCACACAGAAATCTTGTCTCTGTGTCAGTTCTCCAGTATCCAAAGCTACATCTGCTCAGCACAGCGTTGTTCATCCATCCCTCTCGTCAGTAAATGGGATGTTGATACAGTTCATTCCTGTTCTCTACATTTGCTCCCCCCTTCTATGCTGACATTCACAAACTCTTTATTAAAGAAGAGGCTGAATGCTTCCAACACAAGCTAAGAGGGTCAACCCTAAAGAGCCTCATTTTCTTAAATTTGTATAGGAGTTGATCAATCTAGAGCATATCAACACAGGAACAGATGTGATACGGTTCCTGAAGCTAAAATACTCCACTGTGCTTTGAACCGTGTCGTTTCCCTGATGTGGATCAGAGACCGTTTTTCAAAGGATCTTTGTTGGTGGAGCAGAGTTGTCCTCCTCGCAGGCTACCTGCGATTTATCAGTGTGCTCTCAAGCATAAGCTCAAATACTAAATCTTAACTTAGATCTTTTAGGACTGTATAAAAGGAAAATAAACTTTACAGGGTAATATTTATGAAGTTTATTTCTGGTAGGTGAGCAGGGTTTAGTACCCTGGGATACGTTGTGATCTTAAAACCAGTTAGTGGTGTTAAAAAATGACGAAAGCAGGGAAGTCTAACACTCCCATTCAGTCTTCATGTGTTATTTACATTCAGTGTGATGTGCAGTGAAACTAAAAGATAGCAAGTTTCAGAGGCATAGGTGAAAAACACAACTTTAACCTGTGAAAAGGGCTCCAGCTGCCACATGTGACTGAAGCTGGAGGCTAAAAAGGACTATAAGCAGATTTGAACGCTTAAACGCTGTTAGGAATTTCCATAGGTATTCTGGAGAGGAAGAAACTGTGCTTTTCAGGGGACAAGTCAGCTCATAATGCAAGATGCTAGGAAAAGATTTTTCCTTTGGACCTGTTATTACACAGTTGTCCTGGACAAAGATCTTTGCAGCTTCTACTGAACGTCAGCTATTTCCTCATGTCCACGAGCAGCGCGCAAGGAGCCGGGAGGAAATGCTGCTTGGCCCTTGGGGAGCTGATGACAAGCTCTTCTGAACACGTGGCTTCATGTTCATGCTAGGGGCTGTGTTCAGTCGAGAGTTGTCACTGAACTACTGTAGGAACAGTAAGTATTTGAACCATTCAGCCACAGTCACACTTACTTTGAAACTAAACTGAGATTCCTATCAAGTAAAGGTTTAAAGTTAATGTAGGATTACATTTGAATTAATTTTATCATGTCTCTTTTCTTGGCCCCCCCTGTGATGGCAAAACACCTGTCTGTGAACAAGCAGAATACTCTGTGCAAATCTAAGTATCACTGGGCCAACGTTTTCTGAACTTTCACCTGGTGTAACAAAGAGCTGTCACTGGAACTTGAGAAATGTTTTCGTTGCAGAATTTGTACAATTTATAGAGCCTTCAAGGAACGTGCATTTTGTGCACAGTTGTTGTATGGCCCTGCCAAATACTGAAACAACTAACCCTTTAATTCTGTGTTCAGACGGCTGTAGGTCAAGGTAAGGAATATACGTCTGCGTAGGGTGGTTTTTTCCATGGGCCTCACGTACTGTGTGTTTATGTGCAAGTCATGGATCACAAATATCAGATATTTTAACCTAAAGGTTGAAATTCTACCTGAATGGCCACGTTACAAATCGCACTATAAACCATGTGTAGTTTGTGTGTGATCCCAGATAACCATATTTTTCTGAAAAAACCCTACTTATTAACAAAGCTTCATTATCTTCAAGTCTCTGACCAACTGAGTTGATTTTTTTGTTTTTAAGTATGTTAAATATTTACTGAAAACTCTAACAGGAATTTGGAAGGCAGATACAGATTTCAAGGAGGACTGTTATTTCTAGCTGTGCTTCATTGTTTTCCCTAGCCAGATTAGTTAATGAAATGCTGTAAATTAAACCCCCCAAGCAGACAGTGATTTAGCCTGCTGCATAACAAGTGTGCCCTGGACCTTGTATGACTTTTTGTCTTTTAAATTTATAATTGACTGCTATTAAATGCTCTTGCTGATTGCAGAAAGAATTTCTAGTTTAGGATAAAACAACTGCACATTAATACTTGATTAATGAATTTACATGATAGAGCAAAAACGTTACAGAATTAATGACCATGGTTATGGAAATGTAGCGATGCTGAAACGTTTTAAACACTTACCTGAGTCAAGGGTGTTTGAGAGCTGGTGATTGATGGTTTTCAGTTCAGAAGCACGCACTGACACTTTGTTTTTCTTTCAGACTGCAAATGCAACCACTTTGAGCTATTTAGTGACCGGGTTAAAACCAAATACCTTGTATGAATTCTCTGTGATGGTGACTAAAGGTCGAAGATCAAGTACATGGAGTATGACAGCACATGGAACAACTTTTGAATTAGGTAACTCCTTCGTGTCTTTCTGGAAGGGCCGATATTCCCGATGAGATGAGTAAAGTCAAGTCTGCCGGAATCCTGGAGGAGCCAAAGCATGTATTTAAAATTATTATGCTGATGAATACATGCTGGGGGCTTCTTTTCTTTATAGTTTAGTCAGAAATCCTGATTAAAATAACAACAACATGCTTCAGAATTCAAAGGGATGATTGCATGCAAAGGAATTTACATCAAATTACAGAGAAGTAATGAATAATGGAGTTACAGTTCACGGACAGGAGCGAATAAAGAAGCGTACACTTGAAACATCTCAGAAATGGCATGTGAATAGCAAATAAAAAGAAAATACTTTAGCAAATAAGAATTAAAATTTTCTAGAATTATTATGATAATTATTACAGAGCGAGGGAGTGCGTAAGGCAGATGAATTTTAAATGAATTTTTAAAAAATTCCTGGTAGAAATGAAGACATCCCAGTC